TTCTACTTCCTTCTCTGCACGTCGCCACATCACACTTGTGCTCGTAGCACTCCTCCATCTCTCAGTCGCTAGCACACAGATCAGAGGTTTCTTTCTTTTTTCTTTCTTTCTTCTTCTTCTTTTTCTTCTTGTGTGTGTGTGTTCATGTTGGTTTCTTCAATTCAACCAATCTTACATCAAACGGAATTTCTAATCAGATTGGAGTCCAAACACGGGAAATGATTTCAAATTCATTCTAATTTGAAATCCTTGCAAATTCGGGGTTCCAAATAGAGGGTAAAGCTAACGAATTGGCTCATAGGCTTCCTGCGTTTCTCGACCTTAAGTTAGCTAAATAGCTTCTCTGATTGAATTTGCAGCTCAAGCGGCTTTCACGAATCTGGACCTGCCGTTAAGGCCAGCCAATTAACCATGGTATCTCTCTTCTTTCTTTCTCTCCCCTCTGACTTGGTAACGGTTTTTAAGATAATGAGAAGATAATAATTTGTATAAACATCATTTATGTTGTTAATCCTGTCTGAAATATTATGTATCTGTCTCCTCCGTTGGATATGGAGAACGAGTAATTTGTTTCCAGATTGTGTATATATTCTGGTTCTAAATCATAGCTTTCATTCATTCCCAAAATTTCCTTGGGGAAGGTTTCTGCTAAGGGAATGTAAGATAAAACCTTGTGGACTTTTTCCCCATCTCACGTCTTATTTTTCATTTCTTTTTTTTTTCTCCCTTCCTTTGTACTTATTCAAGTATGTTGGTTCTTTATGAAATAATGCTGAGTTGCTTGTCCACTCCGCTTTTTAAAGCATTTGAAAGTAAGTTGAATATTGACTTGCTGATCATCTTTCTTGTAGACTTCAATGGGGGAAATTTTGGCAAAGCATATTTGTAACGTAATTGTACATCACTTGGGTCATCTTATCTATTTTGTTGTGTGTATTTTGATTCTTTTATCCATTGAATTGATGCTAAATATAATTAGCTGTCGTTTACTACTGCTGCTCTGTCGCTGTCTTTAGTTTCGGGAGAGGAGAGGGGGAGATATTGCACAATTGATTTAAATTTTCTTGGTCAGTTTGACAACTTCCTACGAAAGAGCCTCTTTGCTTATATGTTTATTTGGACAGGCTGCAAAAATTCTTGCCAATTTAATTGTTATGGGCTCTGGGATACTTGCTAGGGCCTTTGTTCAAGCCTATCGTCAAGCCCTTGCAAGTAAATACACTCTTTCTATTTTACCGCTGCCTTTTTTTCCTCTCTCTAGTATATATTGGTTGATTTTTCCTCAACTTCATGGTTATCCGTGTTAAAATTTTTGGCTGGCTTGATGGAAACTAATAATGACATCTATATATTGAAATTGAACAAAAGTAACTTACACCTTGTCTTTGAACTATTAAAAGCTATTATGTCAATCAATGTTTTAAAAAACTTTTTAGGCTTACGCCTTGAGGCAAGGCTCTAACTTTTAGCCTCGGAATTACGCCTCCTTTGAACCATAAGGGGCTTACGCCTCTCATAGAAGAGGCTTATGCCTCTTTGAAGACGCACTGAGGCTTAAAGTCCTTACGCCTCGTGTAATGATTAGAACAATATTAGTAATTTCTCCAATTCTTACAAAATATAAAGGTTTCTTTGCATAAGGAATGCATCGTAGGTGTGGTGATGATTCAACCTATCACTACTTTTACTACCTATACTTTAAAAACATTGGAGACAAATTTTATGGAATAAGTCAATCCTATAGTGATAATAGGAGGCCGCCTTTAGCCTTTTAAAACATTGATGTCAATGGGGAGTGAGCTTGGGGTGGACAAGCATTTTGAAAATAAGAATCAAGTTTGTGTCCACATAATTTTATTCTGCTTCAGTTCATATAGGAAATAGACATCAAATATTTTGTAATGTACTAGGTGATGTTAACATCCTTCATTTTTATCCTTTACCTCCCTCACCTTTGGAAGCCAAAATATTGTCTTCTTAGATGAAGATTCTATTATTTTTCTAGCCTACAACATGGGCAAGCGTTTTGGCAATAAGAATTGAGTTTCGTATTTCACTTATTTTATTATTATCAGTTTTTGTTGACTTCCCAAGACCTCTTAATCTCTCTAACGATTCTATTGCTCCTCCCAAGCCAAATGCCTCACAAGATAACAAAAAATCTATCCTTGTCTCGGAAGGGAGGATTCAAAAGGAGCCCCTACAGAGTGATAATTACACACCCAAAAAATCTCAAACAACTATAAAAAGACGATTCCATAAAGACTAAGCAAAGTTACAGCTCCACAGCATGTGATCAACATTCTTTGACTCTCGTCTACACAAAGCGCACCACTGCTTATCGACCAAGAAGGAAGAGTGTCTCTTAATGCAGTCCAAGGTTGTTAACTTTCCCATGCAAGACCTGACATGCATAGAATTTTATCTTCTTGGGATCTTTGCCTTCCAATGAGAGGAGAAAGAAGAGGCTCTAGGTGTAGAAGAGACGGATAAGACATAGAGAGAAGAACTATATGAAAAGGCCCCAGAGGCTTGGGATTCACAAGCCTGCATGTTAGCGTCCTGCAATTCCATCTTTACCTTATTCTCACCCTTAAAAGGCATGTGATGTGAGAAGTGATTTATGGGGCTACAATTTGGTTAAAGTGGCTTTAGTGCAGTTGTGTTGTAACCTGTTGAACATGTACGGATAAGAAAATCCTAACCAATTGGATCTAAGAACCCTTATGGTTAAGCAAACTCCTAGATCACAAATGCTAAAACTCCCCAATCAAGATGATTTCAACCCAAAGAAGAAGTTAGAACATATTTACCTTGATGATGAAGATTAAGAGTAGAGAACACTTGTTTCTAAACTTAATATTCGAATCACTTCAAAGTTAGCTTGATCAATTCAAGGTTATTTGAATGATTCTAGCATGCAATTCTAAATTCTAAAACACAAGAAATGTAAAGGGGAAGCTTATGGCTCAATAAGCTCGAATTTCATTTATCTCATTACTCAAATCTGTAATTAAAATATGTAATTTTTAATTACAAGGGAATAAGCTAGACTATGTATAGCCCTCCAAAACAAGCCCTAAAAGACCGTACTTAAACATGATCTGCTCTATAGGTTGTACAACTGTTTCCTTGAGTTCTAAAAGTAACGTAAAGACAATAGAAATGTAACTCCCTAGTTCATCAATACCATAACATCCAGTAACGGAAAAATAACCTAAAAGTGATAAATGAAAGCTTTAAAATTAAACATACATTAAAATGAGCTTCAAATTCAAGGATAAGGTTCTTTGGTCAGCCATCAAGGTCTTTGTAACCTTTCTTGATTAAATGAAATCCTATTTGGAGTTGCTTGAAGTTTAGTTATATTAAAGGATGCTTGACTTGCATTGAATGAAGCATGAGATGCATTTGAGTTTATTTAATGCAACTTGAGTTCCTTAGCCCAACTTGAGTTCAACTTTAATGCAATTTGACTTTCTATAATGTAACTTGAGTTTAACTTGAGTTCCTGATAAATGAGGTCTTAGTGCGTTTAATGTAACTCCATTTTGTTGTCAATTTGGACAGTACGTAGGGTATATCTTTGACATCTTCCTTGTGGCATGACTAAGACTCATATCATGTACTTTATTAGTTCGACAAATTTTGTTTGTTTTTCCAAAATTTTTACTTGTTTGATACTTGAGGATGATTATGTTCCGTGGCAATACTCTTTTGTGTACTGCAGATGCTTCAAAGTCCGGTGTTGCTCAAGAAACAATACAAAACACAGTTCGCAGAGCAAGCAAAGTGATGACAGAGCAAGAAGCTAGGCAGATTCTTGGGGTCACCGAGGAAACGCCTTGGGAGGAGATTGTGAAGGTCAAATGTTTCTTGCTTTTCATTAAAATAGTTCCTGCCATCTATATTTTATGAATTGCCTCTTGACAATCATTCCTGTCTGTTCAGAAATACGACACTTTGTTTGAAAGGAATGCCCAGAACGGAAGCTTTTATCTTCAGTCAAAAGTTCACAGAGCCAAGGAGCGATTAGAGACTCTCTATCAGAGCAAAGATCAGGATGCCCCTAGCTGAGCGTTTTGAGGAATGTGTTATGTTTTGCACTTTTACTGCTCTTGTATAATTATTAATTTTGATAATGGCGGGCATGAATGATGAAATTGATGTATAATCTTTATTTTTACATACCATTTTCCCTCTAAGTCAAGCTGGTGGGTCTTGAAAGTTGAAAGTAATACAGTTACGCAACAATAAATTATCCTTTATCCAGGGATATAATAGCTTTTGACAATTGCATTCATACAAAATTCTCGTTGAAAGTCTAAAATCTTAGGTGTGATTGCGCTGCCTAAGAGCTCTGTCTGATTTTAATTCAAGTTTTCGATTTTATCAATTTGAACGTGTGCAATTGGCATCTTTTTAAAAAGTTTATGGTTATAACAAACTAGGAGTATTTTTATAGTTGGACGTAATAATTTTTGTATTTCTTTTTTAATCTATGTTAAATATTTTTAATTTCTTCAACTTGGAATTTTGCTGTTAAGTTTGAGATTGTGGTTAGATTCAAGTATTTTCATAATTATAGATATTTTCTTACATGATTTTTAATTATTTTGTTAGTTGAATTTTGTATAGGTTGGTTTGATCTAGTTTTTAAGATGTATTAACTGTAAGGATGATTGAAAGAGTTATCCTTTTTTTCCCCTTCTTTTTGTGAGAACAGAAAGAGTTATCTTATAAGCACTGCTTTCTAAATTTAAATTTAGTTATAAGTTTAAGTTAATAAGATTGGAAGTTTAAGATTAAAATTTGACTCATTCACCTAAAATTAAATTTTTTCATAATGAAGGATTTACCGAATGATAAATCTTGCTTCATATGATATCTATTCTTTGAAGAAGAAAAAGGAACGAAAAAGAAAGGGAAAAAAAAAACGAGACTAACCTGCAAATCTGAAAATGGTACAAATTTTCAGTGGGCTCGTTTCTTATTTACTAGTGGCTTAATAATGTCAAATTTCTCCCTTTAAAAAAGAGTTGATTTTATATGCCACAAATGTAAGTTTTTGGCTTTTTTGGTATAACAAATATGAGAATTTAACTATCTTTCTAACTTTAAAGAAAGAGCTCAACAACAGCCAAAGGAGTATAGCTCAGCGGTAATTGATATATACCTCAAACCATAAAGTTGTGAATTCAAATTCCCTCCTCAACAGGTTGTATTAAAAAAAAAAAAAAGCTCAACAACACGGTGAGTATTCGAACTTGGTCGTCTCTAGCATTATTTAAAAAAAAAAAATTTACATTATTTTTTGGAAATAGTCTGGGAAGTGACATATTTTCGTAATTACTCCCGCATTTAGTATTGTTAAAAAAAAAATCCAATAAAGTGATGTAGAAACAGGTATGAAAGTTTGTTATACCACAATAATTAATGACACATCTATGTGTTCAGAGCATCAATCCAAGCGTGAAGTTCATTATTTTTGTATTTTTTGTTTTTGGAAACTAAACATTCATTTAAAGAACTCATGCCACATGGCGTAGAAGAAACATTAACTTTTAATCCTGGACTAACCACGAAAGCCAAGAGGGGCAGTGGGCAGTGGCAACGAAATTTCCTTTGTATATGGACATGCAAGAACGCGAATGAGATCCTCTCAAAGCTTGGAGCGATGACACAGATTTCAGAGATTATGGTGCAACCGTCTTGTTGAAGGAATGATTCAAAATTAAGTTTATGGTAACTTAGTGGCACCAAATGTGGTGGTACTAAGGAAGTGGGATAATCACTTCAAAATTTAGGGGAGTACTGCCTTAGTGGAGTAGTGAGTCTAGTTAGTGGTCATGTACATGCTATTTATATTATCATTGTAAACCTATGTAAAGATACAATATCATCAATTTTCAATCAATCAAACTAATGCATTTTGGTATTTTCTTCATATTAGTTTGCCTCTATATTTAGCTTTTGCATAATTCAATTGTGTTTTCCTAACAAATTTGGTATCAGAGCCAGGTTTGAGAGAGTGAGTCGAGTGTAAACACGTGAGTTAGAGTATAGACACAAAGAGAGATCGATGAGCAACAACAACAATGCGATGAATGCGGCACAACCACTCATCCCCGTCTTCAAAGGAGAAGGCTACGAATTCGTATGAGGACTCTACTCAAATCTCAAGACTTATGGGAGTTGGTGGAATAAGGCTATGCAAATCCCGAGCACGAAGGCAAGCTGCTGGAGAACAAGAAGAAGGATTCCAAGGCGTTTGTGATCATTCAACAGGCGGTCCATGACAGCGTCTTCTCGCGAATTGCAGCAGCAACAATGTCAAAGCAGACATGGTCTATTTTGTAGGAGTTCCAAGACAATTCAAAGGTCGTCATGGTGAGATTGCAATCACTCAGACGTGACTTTGAGACCTTGATGATGAAGAATGAAGAATAAGTCGCTAATTTTTTGTCAAGAGCAACGACAATAGTTAGTCAAATGTGGCCCTACGACGAGACGATTACCGACCAGATCATTGTTGAAAAGGTACTTAGAAGTTTGACTCCAAAATTTGATCATGTAGTAGCTGCCATAGAAGAATTAAAGGATTTGTGAGTTTTTACATTTGATGAACTAATGGAGTCTCTTTAAGCTCATGAGTCGAGGATTAATAGATTGCTCAAAAAGACCGAACAAAAAGCATTTCAGGTGAAAGAGGCAGCTCCCAAATCCGGACAAGGTGATCATTTGGTGAATCGAGGCTGTGGAAGAGGAGGATTTCGTGGTCAAGGTCGTGGTTTCTGAAGAGGCAGAGGAAGATTCAAAGGACAAAGGCAGTCCTACGAGCAAACAAGCAACAAGAATGAAGTTCGATGTTACCACTGCAAAAGATATGGTCACATAAAGACGGACTGCTGATACAATGATCAGAGAGCCAATTTCGCTATAGAGAAGAAAGTATCGACAAATGCTAGAAGTAGTAAGCTTTTTATGGCTCATGTTAAAAACTAACCAAAAGCCAAGTGGTGTCTTGTTTGTAGATAGTGGTTGCTCAAATCACATTACAGACAAGATCCATCTTCAGAAAACTTGATGAGGCAGAAAAGATGAAGGTGCAACTCAGAAACGACAAGGATCTACAAGTTGAAGGAAGAAGTACGGTGGGTATTGAAACTAGCCATGGTAAACTGAAGCTCCTTCATAATGTTCAATTTTTACCCGATTTAGGATACAATTTATTGAGTGTTGGACAACTAATGACTAGTGGACATTCCATAATATTTGATGATGATGTCTGTGTGATCAAAGATAAACAAACAAGTCAACAGATGGTTCGAGTTAAGATGACCCAAAGCAAAATGTTCCCATTCGAAGTCTCAAATGTGGGAAGTTTTGTTCTTGCTGCTGAAGGAAAAGATGACTCGAAGTTGTGTCACTTGCGATATGGGCATCTCAACATCAAGGGTTTGTCATTGCTAATCATAGAGGTATGGTTCTTGGGCTACCAAAAATTGTCTCTATTGATTTATGTGAAGGGTGCATTATGGAAAACAAATCCGGAAGTCTTTTCCTAGTGGGAAGGCTTGAGGAGCCACTAAGTGTCTTAAATTGGTTCATACCGATTTATGTTATGCAAACTAAGTCTCTTGGTGGGAGTTGTTATTTCTTGCTTTTTACCGACAATTATAGTCGCATGAGTTGGGTGTATTTTTTGGAAAGTAAGCTAGAGACTTTTGAAAAGTTAAGGCACTACAAGGCTAAGGTGGAAAAGTAAGGTGTAAGATTCATCTCTTCGTAGCAATAGAGATGGAGAATTCTTGTCCAAGGAGTTCAAGTTTTTTTGTGAAGAAAATGACATTTATAGGGAGTTGACAACTCTTTCCACTTCGGAACAAACGGTGTTGTCGAGAGGAAGAATCAGACCGTTGTGGAGATGGCGAGAAGCATGTTACACGCAAAGGGGCTTCCGAATCAATTTTGGGCAGAGGTGGTAGTGACATCTGTCTATTTATTGAACATATCTCCAACAATAACGGTCGTGAATCAAATTCATATGAAGCTTGACATTGAAAGAAACCATTTATAAGTCATTTAAGATTTTTTGGTTGTATTTCTTATGATTCGGTACATTCTCACGTTCGTCAAAAACTTGATGAAAAGTCTAAAAAGTGCATTTTCATTTGTTATTGTACTCAGTCCAAAGCATATAAATTATATATCTGCTTAATGACAAAATTCTAACAAGAAGAGATGTAGTTGATGAGAATGCAACCTGGGATTGGTAGAATAATGAAGAAAGGTTGTAGCAACAAATTCCTTTGGTGCATGAAGAATCGGCAAATGAAGATCCATAACCAACTTCATCAAGCTCTGATGGATCCTCTACCAGTTCATCAACTTCGACACCTTCAACAAGTCCCCCATCGTTGCCTTAAAGTTTGAACTCTGCAGGATCATTGGACGAATCACTGTCAAGAAAGTTTAAATACTTGTCTGATATTTATGAATCTTGTCAGTTTGCTTTAATGATTTTAGATCTAATGTGCTATGAAAAAGTGGTAGAAAAGAAATAATGGCAGAGAGCGATGGTTATTAAGAATTGACATAAATAGAGAAGAATGCAACTTGGGAGATGGTGGACTTAACAGAAGGAAAAAATGCAATTGGTTTGAAATGGGTGTTCAAGACAAAGTTCGCTGCAGATGGAAGAATCCAGAAGCACAAAGTACGACTTGTGGCAAAAGGATATTAAAACAAAACATGGTATTGATTTCGAAGAAACTTTTTCTCCGGTAGCTCGTTTGAAACTGTGAGAATAGTTCTAGCATTGGTGGCACAATTGTAGTGACAAATTTATCAATTTAATGTGAAGTCAGCATTTCTCAATGGAGATTTACAAGAAGAGGTCTACGTAGCGCAACCTGAATGTTTCATAAAAGAAGGCAAAGAAGAGAAGGTGTACAAGTTGAAGAAGGCGTTGTACGGGTTGAAGCAAGCTCCTCGGGCATGGAATAGGAAAATTGATGGCTATTTTCAGCAAAATAAATTCATAAGAAATGCAAACGAGCCCACCTTGTATGTGAAAAAGGGAGGTAAAAATGATTTCATTATTGTTTGTCTTTACGTTGATGATATCATTTATACTAGTTCCTTTGAATTCCTTATCGCTGAGTTTGAGTCACATATGAAGAATGAGTTCGAGATGTCAGATATGAGTTTATTGCATTTCTTTCTTGGTCTTGAAGTCCATCAAGTTGAAAGAGGAATTTTCATCTCGAAAAGAAAGTATGCCAAGGATATTCTCAACAA